ACAAAGCATTTGACGATATTCCACATCTCTTCACAAGAAAAACATTCAACAAACTAGAAATGGAAGGGTATTTCCACCCTCAACCTGACAAAGGGTATCTATGAAACCACAGGCAGCATCATACTCAATGGTGGAAGACCAAACGCTCCTCCCCTGAGATCAGGAACAGCACAAGGACGTCTGCTCTTGCCACTTCCATTCAACATTGGACTGGAGGATCTTGCCAGGGCAATTAGACAAGAAAATTAAATAAAAAGCATCCAGATTGGAGAGAAAGAAGTAAAACTATCTCTATTTGCAGATGACATTACCTTGTAGATAGAAAATTCTAAAGAATTCACTAAAAAAACCCTATTAGAACCAATAAACAAGTCTACCAAAGTTACAAGACAGAAGGTCAATACACAAATATCAAGTGCATTTCTACACAGTAGCAACGAACAAACTAAAAAATGATACTAAGAAATCAATTCCATTTACAATAGCATAAAAATAATATACTTAGGAATAAATTTAACAGAAGAAGTGTAAAACTTGCACTCTGGAAACTATAAAACGTCACATAAGCAATTAAAGACCCAAATAAATGGAAAGAGATCTCATGTTCACGAGTCAGAAGAGTGACTACTGTTAAGACGGCAATACTCCACAAATTGATTTATACATTCAACGCAATCCCTACCAAAATCTCAGCGGGCTTCTTCACAGAAATTGATAAGCTGATCCTAAAATGCATATGGAAATGAAAGGGACCCAGAATAGCCAAAAAAATTCTGAAAAAGAAGATCATAGTTGGAGAACTCACAGTTCCTACTTTCAAAATTTACTACAAAACTAAGCAATTAAGACAGTGTAGATTAGCATAGGACAGACAAACAGATCAGTGGAATAGAACTGAGGGTCCAGAAATAAACCCTCACTTTTATAGTCAATTGATTTTCTTTAAGGGTGTCAAGACAATTCAATTGGGAAAGAATCATCTTTTCAACAAATGGTGCTCGGACAACTGGGTATCTACATGCAAAAGAATGAAGTTAAACCCCTGCCTCACACTGTATATAAAAATTTACTCAAAATGGATCAAAGACTAAATGAAAGATTATAAATATAAAGCTCTTAGAAGAAAAAAGGGGTAAATCCTTATGATCTTAGATTAAGCATGACACCAAAAGCACAAGCAACAAAAGAAAAAATAAGTTGGACATCATCAAAATTAAAAATGTATGTGCTTCCAAGGACACCATCGAGAAAGTGAAGACAATCCAAAGAATAGGAGAAAATTTTTGCAAATCATATATCTGATAAGAGACTTGTATCTAGAGTATATAAGAATATTTAGAATATATAAAGAACTCCTATGACTAAATAATAAAAAGATTTAAAAAACCAATTTAAAAATAGGCAAAAGATCTGAATAAAACATTCTCCAAGGAAGATACACAAATGGCCAATAAGTTCATGAAAAGATCATCAACATCTTTAGTCATAAGGGAAATGCAAATCAAAACCATGATGAAACATCACTTCACATCCACTAGGATGGCTAGAATCAAAAAAGACAGTCACCAGGGCCGGCCCCGTGGCTTAGCGGTTAAGTGCGTGCGCTCCGCTGCTGGCGGCCCGGGTTCGGATCCTGGGCGCGCACCGACGCACCGCTTCTCCGGCCATGCTGAGGCCGCGTCCCACATACAGCAACTAGAAGGATGTGCAGCTATGACATACAACTATCTACTGGGGCTTTGGGGGAAAAAAATAAATAAATAAAAATTATAAAAAAAAAAAAAAAGACAGTCACCAGTGTTGGCGAGGATGTGGAGAAACTGGACCCTTTGCACACTGCTGATGGGGATGGGAAATGGTGCAGCTGCTTTGGAAAATAGCCTGGCAGTTCCTCAAAAGGTTAAACCTAGAGTCACCATATGACCCAGCAAGTCCACTCTTAGGTATATTTCCAAAAGAAGTGAAAACATGTCCACACAGAAACTTGTACACAAATGTTCACAGCAGCATTACACTCATAACAGTCAAAAAGTGGAAACAACCCACATGTCCATCAACCAATGAATAAACAAAATATGGTATATCCATACAATAGAATAATATTCAGTTATAAAAAGGAATGAAATATTGATACATGCTACAATGTGGATAAACCTTGAGAATATTATGCTAAGTGAAAGAAGCCAGTCACAAAGGACCAAATAGTGTGTGATTCCACGTATAGGAAATGTCCAGAATAGGCAAATCTATCGAGGCAGAAGTAGATTAGTGGTTGTCTAGGACCAGGCCAAGGTGGCAATGGGGACTGACTGTTAATGGGTATGAGGTTCCTTCTTGGGATGATGACAATGTTCAATGGTTACACAACTCTGCATGTACTAAAAACCATTAGATTACACACTTTAAATAAGCGAATCGTATGGTATGTGAGCTATATCTCAACAAAGCTGTTTTATTTAAAAAAAGAGAGTGAAAGGACAAGACATTATAACGGCTGAATCCCCAGTGTGGCCCCGGCCAGGAGCAGCAGCATCACCCAGGAGCTCGTTAGATATCTAGATCTACGGGTCAGAAACTCAAGGGGGGCAGCAATCTGCACTGTAACCAGCCCTCCAGGTGGTCCTGAAGCTCACCTGAAGCTCACTTAGAGCACGTGGTTCTCAACCATTGGAATCACCTGGGGAACTTTAAAAAAGACCTATGCCCGAGCCCCCCCCCCAGCAGACCAACTAAATCAGGCTCTCTGGGGATGGAGCTCATGCATAGGTACGTCTCAAAGCTCCCGGGTGAATCTATGATGCAGCCAGCGTGAGAATACTGGATTAGAGGGTGTCTCAGGCCCCTCTGCTCTGCAGTCCCTTTAGGAGTTCGGCCCAAGCTCTGCTCACTGGGGCCACCTGGTGGCCATAGTGGGGAATGACATTACATCTTGCTTCTGCACTCCCCCACCCCACCTCCACAGAGCCCAGAGATGGGGTTTAGGGATCCCGATCCTCTCGCTGCAGAGATCAGCACCATCCTGGGCTTTGGAATGGGGGCAGGTGGGCCTGGTGGGGAGGGGATGAGAGTCCTCCACTGGCTCTGCTTCCCTCCTCTCATTAAAACACCCCACGCCCCAAAGGCAGCCAGAGTAACCACTGCTAAACACAGCCCCAACGACACCCCCCTTCCCACCTCACTGCAGTGGAGTGGAGCCAACTTACCCACCCGACTTCCTCTCCGACAGCTTCCAACACAACGGTGTTCGTGGGCACCACAGCACCTTCCCTGCCTCTAAACTCACTCTGCACCTTCCAGCCTTCTGGCCTCCGCCCATGCAGTCCCTCCCGCCGAAGTGCCTTCCCCTGGCTCTCATTATATTGGGATTGCTCAAGGCCAGCTCTGGGGAACCTCGCCTCTCTCCCCACAGCTCACATCCCCCTAATGCTCCCTGCTCCACTCTCTGTGTGCCTCACATGGACAGGTTTGGCTGCAGAGCTCAGGGGAGAGGAGGGCCTGTCAGCTTTGGAGGCAGGGGTGGGATACCTGGAATGCCTGAAGGCAGTGAAGAGCTAGCAGGGCTCGAGGTAAGGGCATGGGGAGGGGGACTCTGACAGAGCGTGGCCAGTGTGGGGTGGGGGACCTATGGTGCTTTGAAGCAGGGCTAGGATCCCTTTTCAACTACCTGGGCCTCCAGCTACAGAGAGAACTGGAAGCCTCAGTTCTCTGCCCTCTCAGCGTCTCTTAGTTCATCACTGCCACCTGGTGGCAGTATCCCCATGTGAGTGGGACCCAAAGGGAACTCAAAAGGGGATACAATCTAGCTGCTGGCCCTGGGAAAACCTGTCTATCTTCCAAAGCTCAGCAAAGTCCACTTTCTGAAACCCCTTAACCATCTTCCCCACCCCACATTTTGCAGCCTCCTAATCTCTGCAAACTCCCCTTCCAACTGACCTCTGATCTTGCGCACAGCCTGACCCCAACGCCCTGCTTCCAGCCAAGCACCCACCCTTTGCCCAATCATGGTGTTATCCGCGACCCTGAGCAAACGCTGGCCTGGATCAGGCATTTCACCAACGTGTACACGGCTACAGGCGGAGCACGGGGCAGGCTTGAACAGCCCCCTCTCTGCAGGGTCCACAGGCAGAAGCCATCCTTGGGTCAGCAGCGGAGAACACAAGGTCAGCACCCATGGGGGTGCTCACTCACTTCAGGCACAGCCTTCCTGAAGCCCCCCATTCCCCTCACGGCTGCTCCCTCCCACTCTAGCACCCTCCTTTGTCCCAGTAGCCAATCAAATTCACTGGGCCAGAGAACAGAATTCAGCACGTCAGCGTGCTCCACACAGAGACCAGAGGACGCAAAGTCCAACGCCCAGAGCGGCCCAGCGGGTCACATGACTGGACGAGGAAGGCCACGTGTGATAGAGCCCCAGGGACTATGACGAACTGGAGGGCACATTTTTTTCTAGATAGGCTGAAAATCCAGATTTTTATATGAAATCTGGACTTTTATAGAAACCTTCTGATTTTTATAATTTAATGAGTTATTCAAAAACAGTTTTTAACTGAGCAGGTCCATCTGGGGGCCAGACCCGGTTCCCAGGCAGTGCAGACATACGTAGTCCTGAGCATCAGCTGGTAAAACGCTGAACCGCCTCCCTGCGGGTTGTGGAAGAACCACTCTCCAAGGCCTTGGAGGGGCCCACCTGCCAACCGGACCCTGCCTCCCAGGACCCAGCAACTAAGCGGAGGGGTAAAGCCTGGCACCACAGGGGTCTAGATAAGGTGATCATTCTGACGGGCCACATCCTTGACGGGGACAGCAGCTGTTCAATACTCTGAACATCCTCCCTGCACACACCCCACCACGCACTCCAGAAGCTGGGCAAGCTTCCATTTCAGGGATGACCACCACTTCCAGAAGGTGACAAAGTTACCGAGAACCGATGAGGGTCCCACCCCCTCATCACCCGACACCCAGGCAGCCACACCCCGGGCTGTGCACATGGGCGGGCTCACCTGGCGGTAGGTGCAGATGATGATTTCCCGCAGGTGGTAGTGCATGGGCGTCATGGTCTCACTGACCGTGTCCAGGGCCGCATCCACCTCCTTCTTCACACGGTGCCCATCAGGCAGCAGCTGCACTACCTTCATCACCACCTGGGGCCAGAGGAGGGGGCATGAGCAGAGAGCAGACCAAGGGGGCGGGTGGGGCCTCCAGACCCAGCAACAGGCTCAGCCCATACGGAGGGTCACACCGGCCTCAAGACCCATTTCAACACATGGTGCTGGGAAAACTGGATATCCACATGCAGAATTAACTCAAATGCATCAAAGACCTGGACGTAAGAGGGCCGGCCCCGGGGCTTAGCGGTTAAGTGCGTGCGCTCCGCTGCTGGCGGCCCGGGTTCGGATCCCGGGTGTGCACCGACGCGCCACTTCTCTGGCCATGCTGAGGCTGCGTCCCACATGCAGCAACTAGAGGCATGTGCAGCTATGACATACAACTATCTACTGGGGCTTTGGGGGGAAAAATAAATAAATAAATAAAAAGTATAAAAAAAGACCTGGACATAAGAGCTAAAACCACACAACTCTTAGAAGAAAACAAGGAGGAAAAGCTTCATGACATTGCATTTGGCGAAGACTTCTTGGATGTGATGCCAAAAGCACAGGCCACAAAAGAAAAGACAGACAAATTGAATATCAAAATTAAAAACGTTTGTATGAAAGGACACCATCGACCATGCAAAAAGGCAACCCACAGAACGGGAGAAAATATTTGCAAATCACGTGTCTGATAAGAAACTGATATCCAGAATTCATAAAGAATTCCTATAACTCAACAACAACAAAACAACCCAAATCAAAAATGGGCAAAGAACTTGAATAGACGTTTCTCCAGAGAAGATATACAGATGGCCAACAGGCACATGAAAAGATGCTCAACATCACTCATCATCAGGGAAATGCAAATCAAAACACAAGGAGATGCCACTTCGCACCCACTAGGACGGCTATTATCAAAAAACCAGAAAATAACAAGTGTTGACAAGGCGGTGGAGAAACTGAAAGCCTTGTGCTTTGGTGGTGGAAATGTAAAATGGTGCAGCTGCTGTGCAAAAGCATGGCCGTTCCCCCCAAATTAAACAGAATTACCATATGATCCAGCAATTCCACCTCTGGAATTGCAAGCAGAGACATGAACAGATATCTGTGCGCCCACATTCATAGTGGCACTGTTCACAATAGCCAAAAGGTGAAAAGGACCCAAGTGTCCATCGACAGATGAATGGATAAACATAACGTGTTGTATACAGACAACGGAATGTTAGCCTTAAAAAGGAATGAAATTCTGACACATACTACAACATGGATGAACCTTGAAGACATTATGCTAAGTGAAATAAGCCAGACACAAAAGGACAAATACTGTATGACCCCAGTTATACGAGGTACCTAGAGAAGTCACATCCATGGAGACAGAATGTAGAACAGTGGTCCCCAGGGGCTGGGTGGGGAGGGAGGACGGGGAGTTAGTGTTTAAGGGGCACAGCCAGTTTGGGAAGATGAAAAAGTTCTGTAGATGATGGTGATGGTTGCACAATCATGTGAATGTACTTAATGCCACAGAACTGTACACTTAGAAATGGTTAACGTGGAAAATCTTATTTATGTATAGTTTACTACAATAAAAAAAAACAAAAAACAAAAGCAGCAGGGAATCAGCCAGGAGAAGGAAGAGAGAAGAGGTCCAGGGCGAGGGAACAGCATACGCAAAGGTGCAAAGGCCCCGGAGCTGGAAGAGCTTGGAGAGTCCGAGGAATTGCATGGAGGCCAAGGGTGGCAGGACAGCAGGGAGGGGAGGGGCGGGGCACGTGGCGAGGCTGGCCAGGTAGGCAGGAGCCGCCCACAACGCTGACACCAGGCAGCCACTGTGAGTTCCTCATTCCCCTTCTGTAAGATGGGGACACTGCCACCTACTCACAGGTGTCTGAGAAGATGACGCACGGCAGATACATGAAACCTGGGTGACTAAATCGGAAATGTTGGTGGCTGTCCTTACAGTGCCCTGGACTGAAATGGGGGCGGGCCAGGCCCCACACCAAGGTCACCAGCCACAGCTGGGTCCCAGGTGCCTGTGAGGCAGTCAACGTTACCCAGACAAGATGGTGGCCAGAGGCCCCCTCACCCAGGACACAAAGCATCCCAGCAGCAGGGCCAGGTGGGGTGGGGCGGTCCAGCCCCCCTTTCTCCCATGGCCATCTGCCAGGGCCCTGTGCCTTGGTTTGCTCACCTGTGAAATGGGAACAGGGAAGTACTGACATGACGAGGTGGAAGAAGGTGACAGCATTGAGAAGAGCTCTGACAATCCCCTCCCCTGGGTGTCCCCCGGGAACCCCACAGGGCATACTCACCTCAAACTCGCCCTTGGTGAACTTGGCATCAGGTACGCTCACGAGCTCCTCCTCGCCCACCTCGGGGAAGCCCTGAGGGAGGACAGTGCTGGGATGGGAGCCCCTCTGTCCTCTGCCCAGGACTGATGGGAGGGGCTCCAGGACCACATTAGGCACCGCCTCTGCCCCCCACTCCCTCCTGCCCTAGCCGTGCCCCAGGGACCGAGTGCCCACCCTGCCTGTGGGCACACACAACAGGCCACACATACTTGGTTGGCCCAGAAGGTGAGCACAGCCACCACCATGGCAGTCGTGGTCCGGCCCTGGCCGCTGAGGCAGCTGAACACAAAGCCAGTGCCTGCGTCCTTGGCGAGGGCAGCCCGCAGGGCCTCCAGCAGCCGGTCAAAATCCTGGGTGGGGAGACCAAGGTCTGAGTCAGTGGGTGCCCCCAATGTGGCCCACCTTCCAAATGGCCACCCCGGTAGCTGTCCCAGGAATGCTCGCTCCGTGCCAGGCTCTGCGTCAGGCTCACAACCTTGCATGCTCACACTCAACTCACGAAACAGCCACACCCCCGTGTACAGCCATACCCCCCACCCCGGGCACCAGGACCGGATGTGTGAGCAGACACACATCCACACCTGGGCCTGCTGCTGCCCACTATCCGCCAGGCAGGACATGCACATGGGTACGCCACCCCCATGTGCTGCGCCCCGAGGCTGTGCATGGACCCCCTGGCCCTGCTGCCCCCCTGAGCTGGACCCAACCCAGGTCCCAGACTGAGGGCAGGGTCCCGACTCCAGTCGATCCCTGCAGCTCTCGGCCACCAGGGAGTGACAAACACTGGGCAATGGGACCCACCTGGCAAAGCGAGGCAGGAAATAATTCTGTCACCACCTGTCACACGGAGCACAGCACACTCCCCACACAGACCCACACAGACACGTCACCCACACAACCAACATGTCATATTGGCACAGAGCAACCCTACACAATACATGCCACGCACACACACCACACAGACATATCCACATACCTTAAAGACACACAGACCATGTACGCACAAAGACACAAACCCCTGTCACACACAAGGACTCCACAACACCCTCCTCCACAAACCCCATACACATACCACACCACACAACTCCACACACGTGTCCCCCACTAAAGACAAGATGTACATCACAGACTCCACAATAACACACGTGTGCACCACACACACACACACACACTCCACAACGACACCCACTCCAAACATTCCCCCCACAGACACATTCACCATAAACACCATGGACATGCTCACCCCTACACACACCTACAACACATAATAACCACACATGTACACACACGTGCAAACACCAAGCTTGGAAGGGATGTGAATCAACCACCCGGGGCCACATCTGACACCCTGTGGAAGAAGCTCTCTGCCCCTCAGAGGAGTGGGCTGGTTTTCTGCTCCTGGAGCCAGGCCCATAGCCGAGGCCCGGGCCAGAGGGGAGGCGAGGACAGCCTCTGCTCCCGCCCCAGAAGCCCGGCCTGCCCGGCCCCTCACCTCCTCGCAGGGGGCGCAGAAGTCTGGCACAGGTATGCGGTGGTAGGTGAGGCTGGGGCAGGCCCCGCGGTGCTGGCTGAAGACCTCCTGCATGGTGAGGCACGTCTGGAACCGGGGGGCCCGTGGGCCCTCCACGGTGGGCGGCGGCGTGCTCAGGTGGGCCTTCAGCTGGGTCTCCAGGCTCTAGAGGAGCAGGGGACAGAGGGCTCAGGCCGCTGAGGGTGCCTCCAGGCCAGCCCTGAAAGACCAGAGCCTGCCATGGCCAGGACCAGTCCTGGCTTCTTGGCCCGTCTCTACCCCTTCCCAAGCTGCCAGGTTCATAACCAGACCCAGAGCCGGGCAGGTGGTCCGAATGGGAGTCCTGATCCAGTTGCTCCCAGAGACTGCGCCTCCTGGGGCCTCAGTTTCCCCCTCTGTATAACGGGAGCACGGGACCTTCTGAAGACTCTCCCAGGCCAATTCCCCAGAAGGCCTCCAAGGTTTGGGTGTGTAGAAGGCAGGCAGGCCTCACCTCCAGCTGGTCAGGGGCCATGGGGGGCCCAGGCCACCGCAGGCTGTGGGTGTGGCCGTCACACTCCAGCACGGCCTCCTCCCTCAGGTTGACCCACACGACCTGCCGCAGCTTCCTCTTGGTGTCGGTCAGGTAGGCCAGGATACTCCCCAGGGCCTGGGGGACAGGAGGGCTGCCAGTGAAAGGGCTCCCCGCCCCCCTGCCCCACGAGTGGACCCAGGCCCCCTGGGGTGGTCACCTTGGCGCTGGGCTGGGCCGTGCCATAGATGGGCATCCGAGGCACCCGCCGAAAGTTGGCCACATCCATCTCTCTGACGGTGCTGAGTGCATCCGGGGAGACAAGATCATCGGCCCCCTGTGGGGAGAGCAGCAAGCCTGGGACCCACAGCAGCCAGTGAGAGGCTCAGAGCCCAGCCCAAGCTGGGCAGAGGAGGGACGGGACCAGCACTTTACAGTTTACAAAGCACTTTTGGACACTTGGAGCTTCATCACCGCCCCGGCAAGGAGAATAGTGATGGCGCCCACTCTCCGGACGAGGACGCTGAGGCTCACAGATGCGAAGCTGGTGGCAAAGACAGTGGAAGCAGGTCTTCTGACTCCCTGCCCAGAGCACTTGGTTTGAGACTGAGGAGAGGACACTAGAACAGCGGCCAAAGCTGCAAATGCTTCCTGGGGCCTGAGAACAACCCCACTTCGCTCACAGGAGGATTCTACCCGCCACAGGCCAACATCCCTTTGCCTCCTATAAGGGCAATGCTTAAACCAACCCCGCAGGAACCAGCGGCCGACTGGCCCCCGGACGGCCCACACCCACTCCCACTGCCCCAGCCTGCCAGCCAACTCACCAGGGAGCCCTTGGTGATGAGGTCCCCGGGGACCACAGGCCCCGCTGAGGTCAGTGTCACGGGCAGGCGGTACAGCTCGGGGTGGGCACACAGCCAGTGGCTGAAACTGAGGGCAAAGGCCAGCGGGTACTGCAGCCCGAGGCAGAAAGACGAAAGTTCAGGGGCACAGGGCCATCCTGAACTCTCCCTGCCTGCCCCTTGGTGGGGGAGCCCCAAGAGTCATCCATGACAGCCAGGGAAGGGATGAGGGGGCAGGGGAGAGGACCAGGACATCCACAGTGAGATCCTTGCAGGCCCTGATGCCCTGGCTAAGGCTACAGAGCCCAGGGCCCAGGGAAGGGAGAGGAGGGGCCACCCTTTCTCTGACGTGCTCAGAGACCACCCCTCTATCTGGGTCTCTCCTTGCCTCCCCCACACCCACCTTCCTCTGGAACCAACACACATGTGTCCACCCTTCTCCCCAGGTCCATGAGGATCCTCAACGACCCCATGCCAGTCACTGCGGTGGGGAGGGCAGGAGGGGCCCCAGGAAAAGGGGGCGTGGGTCTGCGCATCCCTGCCCCACCTGCTCATGGAGATAGTAGTTAAACAGGATCAGGTAGAAATATCGCTCCAGGCTCTGCAGCGCCCTCTGCCGGACACTGTGCTGGCTGCCACTTCCCTGAGACGAGGGGAATAGGAAGGAGGGCAGAGTGCTCAAGATGGGGCTGCTCAGGCCACCCCGTCCCCACCCCTGGAAGGGCAGGAGTTAAGCCTCAGAAATCCCCAGAAGACAACCTAATCCCCCCTTCATAACACAGTTCTGGCAGGCTGGAAGTTCTTCCAAGTATCTAACCCTACCCATTTGCTGCGGTTCATCCGTGGTGCGGGGAGAGCTGCTGGTGCCTCCAGCAGGCACTACAGTTCTCCGCACAGGGACTGCCTCCCCCGCAGGCTCTGCGCCCAGAGGCAGGCTGGGGCTCCCCGCTTTGCTCCAATGCCACCCACCCTGCAGGGCTGCCCACAAAGTGCGCTGGAGCAGCAAGTGTATAAACACCCTTCCCTGAGCCAGAGGCCCTTGCTTAGGAGCCGTGACCCCCTCTCCCCCAAGAAAACAGAAAGATTCTCTCGACAGTGCTCCGTGGGGACCGTAATTATTACTCCTGCTTTACAGAGGGGAAACTGAGGTTCAGAGAAATGAAGTGACTTGCTCAAAGTCACCCAGCTGATGGCAAAGAGAGCTGGATCCCCAAACAACCGTCCTAACCCCAGCCCAGCACCCTCTGGGTAGGGGGCTGTCAAAGAGGGTTTAATCCCAAGGGTCCCTCTCAACCTTTGGATCTCAGGGTTCCCTGCTGGGTCAGTACCACCCTCTGGAGGACAAGTGAGATTCATACAGGCCTGAAAGAAAGGTCATGCCCTTTGATGAAATTTAATTCCATCTTTAGGAATCTAGGCCAGGGGTCGGCCAATTTTTCTTTCCATAAAAGGCCAGACAGTAAATATTCTAGGTTTACGGGCTACACAGTCTCTGTTTCAACTGCTCAGCTCTGACACTGCAGCATAAGAGAGACATCGACGGTACACAAATGAATGGGCAAGACCATGTCCCAGTAAAACTTATTTACAAAAACAGGTGGCGGGCTGGATTCGGCCCACGGGCCATCGTCTGCCAACCCCTAATCTAGACTAAGGAAAAAAATGCTAAACGCACAAAGCCTCATTTTCATGAAGCAGCTCAATGCAAAAGTATTTACACTGATGAGGAACTGGAGGTGATTCAACTGTCCAAAAAGAGGGGCATGTTTAGTAAACCACGGCAGGTGGCATGCCAGGGAGACCTTCTCAGTGCTTTATGGATCTTAGCTCACCTACCCCTCACAACAACCCTATGGGGTAGTTATTATTAGCGGCCCCATTTTACAAGTGGGGAAACTGAGGCACAGAGCGGTTAGGCAGGTTGCCCATGTCCACACACCTGTAGGTGGCAGAGCCAGGACTGCAACCCAGGCAGTCAGGCCAGAGCCCACGCTCAGCCTACCAGGCCAGTGATGGCTGAACCACGCAACGGGTCTAAGTCACGTAGCCAGTAAAATCTCAGTGACAACCGGGAATGGCCTGAGAAAGACAAGGTCAAAGAAAATAAGCAGGATGCAAACCTTGCTTGGGGCAAACTACACAGGAACACAAAAAACATAAAAAATGAAGGCAACCGGCCCAAAAAATGCTCACAGCAGCTGTGTTGGGATTACAGGTGATTATTTTCCTTTCTTCCCTAATTTCTCAATTTTCCATAATATAATACTGCTTTTAAAAGACATTTTTTAAAGTGTTAAAGAAGAAAAAGGCTCTGCGGGCTTTAGATTCTTTCCATGCACGGTGTGCAAACACTGTCAAGCCAAGCTCCTCTCCACAGAGGCCTCGTGGGACCTCGCAGAGGTGGGACAGGGCTGCTGAGACAGTGCAGAGCCCATCTCTCTTCCAGAAGCGGCCAGCTGGACCAAACCCCGGCCTTCCCAAAACACCAAGGGTTTTATTTGCAAGGGGAGCCATGAGCAGTCTGGGAAGTGTCTGGATGCAGAGGCCCCCAGCGCCCCGCCAGCAGCCCCCTCCTCCCTCCTGTTTATCCTGCAGCAAGGGGACCTGGTCAGAAAAGTACACCTCCCCCTTCCTCGTCATTCCTTCCTGCAGGCCCAGCTTCCCTATCGCCCCTTCCTCTGAAAACCGCTCTTCTCACAGGAGAAGAAGCAACCAGGAAAACTGAGTCCAACAGAAGCCAGTCAAGGGGCCTAAGAAAATTCGGCTGCAGGGCTCGGGCAAAAGCAGCAGCTCCCGTGCCTCACCTGGGCCGGGCTCTCCGGCCGGATGCCTTCCAGCTTCCTCTGGTTTTCCAAGACTTCTTCCTTCAGGTCGTGCAACTCTGCGCAGGCGGTGATGGCCCTGTCCACCTGGGGCCAGGGACCAGGGCAGGGAGGAGGGGACAGCAGCCAGGTGGGAGCAGGGCCGAGGAAAGATGGTGGGAGATACAAGAGAGCAAGGGAAAGAGAAATGATTGGCTGAGAAGGGGGGTGTCTGGGGAGGGAGAGACCTCACCAGGGAGCAGGGAGCAGCCCCTCCACTGCCCCGCCCCCAGCTCCGAGCCCAGCCCCCTCGCTCACCTCCTCCACCACCCTCCTTCCCTGTGGCACCGTGTGGAGAAAGCTCTGGATCACCTGGAGCTGCTCCATGGGGAGTGGCTTGGTCTGCAAGGGGACAGCCCTGACAAGGAAGGGGGCAGTAATCAGTGCTCCCAAAGGCCTCTAGCACGGCCCTGCTGTCAACTCTCGCCCATTCGTATGGCTGCTGAGAGGGACCAGACCACAGGTTCCAAGTCTTCCTTCCAAATCACGCTGAGGGAGGCAAGGGGCGTTTTCCCCACTGGGGAAACTGAGGCCCAGAAAGAAACTTTCTCCAGGTCACCCAGCAAGTCTGTGGGAAACCAGGAAATGAACCATAGGTGCCCTATTTCCAGCTCTGGGCTCCTGACGAGTCCCCAGCATCCTGGGGCAGCCCCGTCTCCTCCTCTCCTCATCCCCGCAGCCCCTTGGGACACTGGGTCCCAGGCCACTCACTCCGGCCTTGAGGCAGTCCCACTGTGGTGAAACAGGATGAGGGTACCCAGGACCATGCCCAGGTTGGTCCTGCCCACGCCCGTCTGGCAGCTGAAGAGGAGAGCAGGGGGAGGCCCATGGGCATCGCGGAGCAGCAGCAGGCTGGGGGTCTCCTGGGGAAGGACCATGAATATCAGGCAAAAGTGTGACCCGGAAACCCCTCGACTGAGGACCAAGTCGGGGGAGGGATCATGACATCGGCCACTCCCACCCCACGGTCTGAGGTAAGGTGGGGCCGGACAGGCAGCTGGGCCTCTGTCAACAAACCCACAGCTGATCGGCTCCACCTCCCCAGCCCTGGGGAGCTCAAGGAAGCCCTGGAAGTGACAATGACTCAGAGCAGACAAGGCCTATTTAACACCCCATGCGAGATGCAAATTAAACTGGTGACCTCCTGAAGGGGTGGGACAGAAACACCACCAGGACTCAGAAAATGTCACCTGAAGAGTCACAGGGTGAGAATGTTTAGCTCCAAGAAAGAAAGGAGGAACTTGAGGTCTAGAGAGGTTAGGAGATTTGTCCAAGATCACACAGCAATGAGCAGCCAAGCCACGGCCAGAGTCGTCCTCCAGACGGTCAATGCTGAGCTCTGTCATTAGAGCCGGTACAAGTACACACCCACACAGACACACACAACCCACACGTACACAGACAGACGTGTACACCCCCCACACACAGAGACACACACACACCTGACACACTCGACCCCATACACAACACAGAACTAGGCCTTCCTCTGAGGAAGGCTGGAGGCTACACCCGCCCTGAGCATCTCCATGGAGACAGGGCCTAGACACAGACCCACCCTCCAGACACCTGCCCCCACCCCGTGCTCCCACCACCCCCTCCCGCCCCCACTTACCCGGAGGACACTGACAAAGGCATCAAACTGGGCTTCCAGGGGGGCCCCATGCTCTGGCAGGGGCAGGCGGTGGTACCTGCCAGGGGAGGGGGAGCAGCCCATCAGGCAGGCCACACACCCCGGGCATCCCCCGACCCGGCAATCCCATGGGGTGTGTGAACCTGCAGACGGTGAAACTGAGGCTGCAGCTAGGAGCAGGCCCAGCACACTGGGGTCCCGTGCAGCCCCAAGCCTCTCGGCAACCCCAGGCAGGACTGGCCCTCAGTACCTGTAGGTGGGCTGCAGGAAAAGGGGCCGCCTGTACACCTCCTGGGTCACATGCACGTCGTCCTCGCCCCGGATGGCCACGGCGTGGGGCTCCTCCCGCAGGTCCTCGGTGTTGTGGTACACGTGGTACGTGTTCTCGCTCAGTTGGGCAAAGTCTCGGATCTAGATGGAGGTGTGGGGGCAGAGGGCCATGAGGACCTCAGGTCCCTCCTGGCCTTCCTGGCTGAGCTCTGGAGTGACCAGGCCACACAGAGGCCACAGACAGGCTGCTCCTCCTCCAGGGGGAGCTATGTGGCCAGAGCCACTCTCTATGCCCTGGGAGTCCTGACGGGATCAGGGTGGCCACTGGCCCGAGGGCAGCCACCTACGCATGGGCTGACAGGCCCACATCGGGGCCAGGTAGGAAGGGCTCTGCGCAGCGGGCAGCAGGAATTAGCTGAGCTGCCAGACTCCTGGACAGGGCGAGGCTCGGCCAGCTGGGAGCTAGAGGAAAAGACCAGTGACCAACACGGCCTCAGGTCGTGCCCAAGGGAGTCTCTAGGAGCACCCCCCACCACCCACACTCTACTCACACACCTCTGTCATGTGTCAACAGCCTCAGAGACCTTGCCAAGCCTCTGTGTTATGGAGGAGGACAGAGGACCCTCAGAAACAGAGGCCCAACGAGAGAAGTGACTCACCCCAGGCCTCACAGCCCACAGAGGACTCAACCCCAGTCTTGGGACTCCTACTCTAGCTCTCTTCACTCCACCAGATCCCTTTCTAAACAAGGATGCTGAGCGTGGAGGAGAAAAACAGGGTGGGAAAGGGGCAGAGGCAAACAGAGCCAGGACTGGGAAGTCCTTCCTCTGGCTGTCCATGAGCTGGCCTCACAGCCAACCTCTCACCCAAACAGAGCAGAAAAATGGTTGAGTGTGGGCTGGCGAGAGCCAGACAGGCTGTGGGCTGGGGTCTCATCTCAGCAGCCCGAGGCCTACCAGGGAGGGGGCCTCCCGCCCACAGCAGTGGCCCTCACCTCTTTCCGGATGGCCAGCTCCAAGCTCTCCGCCTGGACCCCGGGTCCGAGGCCCTGGAGGTTCTCCTGAAGGTTCTGCTTCTCTCGAGGTGTGTAGGGCATGAAGTCTTCCCCATCACGCAGAAACAGCACGGGCTCCTCCCGCACACAGAAGATGACGCACTCCTGCCGGAGCCCCGGGAGGAAGGAAGCATCACCATCCAGCATGGACACTCGCTGCATTGCCCCACCTCCGGGCCTCTGCCCAGGCCGTTCCCCCCTCCTCGAGGGCCCATCACCACCCTGTGCCTGAAACCCGAATCCTACTCAAAAAGCAAAGCTCAGCCCAAACGCCACCTGCTCCGGACCCCCCTCCTCTCGGGGCTGACAGTCCTTCATCTGAACCTCGTGGTGTTCACTCCTGCCTTGTACTAACATGATCAATGAAGACATCTTTTCTGCCTTCATGGACTACAGGTTCCTCACAGGGGGCATCATTTCCTGGTCACTTTCACGTCTCCACAATTCCTAGCATGGAGCCCTGGGTATATCAGATGCTTCATAAACATCAGCTGAACAAATGAATGCCCACCACCACCAGGCAATCATTCATTCACTGAGCACTGTACAGACAGAGGAAGATACATGTGCAGACCCCACTCCTGAGGAATTACAGTCAAGCTGGGAAGACAGGATCTGCACACAGCTAACACCCCCACCCTACTCTGGTTCACTCAAGGCCTCTCCACCTTAACCCCGGGTCAATTCAGATGCAGGCTGCCCTCGATGAGCCTGCAATCACAGTGGACCCTCAGCCTCTGTCCTGGAGACACTCGAAATCCCACCTCGACATCCTTGACAGGCAGTAGAGAGGAGTCATTAAAAGCAGGCGCTTGGAGTCCAGCTGCCTGGGTTTGGATCTTGGGACACCACTCATGAGCTGAGTGACCTTGGATAAGTCACTTATTCTCTCTGGGCCTCAGTTTCCTCCTCCGTAAAATGGGAGAATAACAGCCCCTCCCTCATAGGGTTGATGTGAGGATATACGTGTTAGCTGTGACCATCATCCTGTGGCTCTCTCATTATGACCTGGCCCCTCCTGTCACCCTGTCACCCTCCTCACTTCCTCCGAGATTCTCAGAGTGGGATGTACAAGGGGCTTCTGACCTCAGGGCTCCCACGTCCCTACAAGACAGTGCAATAAACATTCACCCAGAATTTCCCAACCATGCCAACCACAACAACCATCACGCATTCAAGGCCTGGCGGGGCCTGGTCCAGGCCACCAGCTGCCCTCCATAGCATGTGGCCAGGCCCTTTCAGAGCCTCTGAAGTTGTCCCTCCCAGGAGCTCCTTTCCCCAAATTTGGGGGGCTAGCCCCTGCCTGGAAAGTGACCATGCTTACCCTATGTCCATCCTTCTGGAGTTTCTGGAGGACCCGCCTAAACCCTGAGAGGCTGGGCTGTCCCATGCCGAACACAGTGAGTCCACCCCGCACCTGCCGGAAGTTGGGGGCCCCACAGCTCCGCACGGTGCCCAGCACATCCATCTTCTCAGCAACATCCTGCACCAGGAAATAGCGGCCCTGGCAGAGGAAGAGCCATGGGGGTTCACTCAGATGACTCAGGGACATCTTCTACAGGCAGGCTCTATCCCAGATCCCAGGGGACAGGGAGCAAGGGGATGGGGTGGGGGACATGGTCTTCAAATTGTCCGTAGGCTCACGGAAAAAACAGACAAAATAGGTGACCATCTGTGATCCTGGAAAGGGTGTCACAGAGTGCAGCAAAAGGAAAGACTCCTGACGGGGAATCAGAGAAGGCTTCATGTAGGAGGTGGTATCCGAGCCAGGCCTTGAAGAAAGAGAGCAGGGAGAGGCACTCCAAGGGCAGGAAACCAAAACTGGCTCTAGAGTCGACCCTCAGCCCCCTAGGAGGAAGGCAAACATCTCCTGGCCCCAGAGGATGCACATGGAGAAGGGCCAGCGTAGGGAGTCACAGGTGGGGCACCAGGAATCAACCAGAGAAAACTATGCCGGCCGCTTCCTGGGGGCCTGCAGTTCTGAGGATGGGCAGGTCTCTCCCCTCCTCAGCTGGGGTGAGCGGACGCAACGACCAGAGAAAAGAGGAAAACACTACTCAGGGATCAGGGGAGAGCAGGAGGAACCAGAGGAGTTCATTCTGGGCAAAGGGAACCTGAGGTCACCTTGTCCGCCTCCACGCCTCCAGGAGGACCTGCCTATACCACTAGACAAATGAGAAGTGGGACCAGCTCTTGTGACGCCAGAAATTCTCAGCCACCCTTTCAAGGACAGTTTAATCATCACAGTTATTCATTCACTGGACATCTACTGAGCACCTACATGGCGCCTAAGCACGGCTCTAGGGCCTGGGACCACAGGAGTGAACAAGGCAGACGAAAGTCATCTGTCCTCGTGGACTTTACCTCCTCAGGGATATTTAAGGCAAAACATAACAATAATAGCTAAGCTAGAGAAGTTCTGAAACTTCGAAAAAGAACAGGATGGAGGAAGCAGCCTGAAGTCCCCGGTCTCTGCTCTCCCTGGTGCTCTGATGGAGGAGGCTGGGGGCAGGTTAGGGCCAGATGGGGAGAGAAGAGCAGGGGGCAGGAGGCCCCGGAAACCAGGGGCGAGAAGTGGGGCCAGGACCCCGGAGGGTGGGGTGAGGCAGTGAAGTAGAGAGATGGGGGAACAGTGGGGGAAAGCAGGAGGTAGGGAGGGGCCGGGGAAGGGCCCTGTGAGGAAGAGGACAGGAGGGTGGGGAGAGGCCGGGGAAGGGCAGGGCCTGGGCTCACCTGCACCAGGTAGTGCTCGGGGGTGGTGTCCGAGAGCCGGCCCAGGGTGTAATGGGCCTTGAGCGGCTCGTCGTGGATTTGGAACTCCTCCCTGCAGTTGTACCTGCAGGTGCAGAATGGAGACCCAGTCAGGCTACCTCTGCGGCCAGGGCCGTCTCCACCTCACCAGGGGTGGACAGGGGACACCCCATCCCTGCCCATGCAGCCACCCATTTGTGGCAGAGACTGCCCACTGTCCCCCAGGATCCACTCTCCCCTTCTTCCTCAGCAATAAAACCCTGAATGGTGACCGGGCCATCCAGCTGAAGACTACATTTCCCAGCCTCCCTTGCAGCTAGCATGGTCATGTGATGAAGTTCTGGCCAATGGGATGTGAGGAAAAGTGACGTGTACAACTTCTGGGCCATTCCCTTTAAGGGAAGGTATCTTCTACTTTCTCTCCTCCCTGGCTAACATCCAGAAGTGGAGGCAGGAAGTAGACGTTGATGATGGCAGGGCAACAAGAGAGGAGGAGCCTGGCTGATCATGGAGCAGCCATCCCAGCCCGGAGCACCTCCTGGACTTTCGTGCGGAGAGAAGCTTCTGTCTTGTTTAAGGCCTCCTGTTCAGGGGTTACTTTGGTCCCAGATTGACCCCCCCATCAGACTGTCTCTGAGAACAACCCCCACGTGACAATCCCACAGCACAGTGAGATGGCTCAGAACAGGCTTTGGGGCTGCGTGGCCTGGGCATGAAGCCCAACCCCACTGCTTGGTTACTCCATTGTTTTGGATTCACTCGCTCTCTCTGTGGCTCCTTTCCAGTAAGTCTCACCTCCTAGAGCTGTTGTGAGAATTCAATGTGCTAATCAATATACATGCTTAGCCCAGTGCCTCGGGCACAGGGAGCATTTATTAATACAATTATTAGTACCAATAGAGTTCTACCTTCACACAGGTGTTCTACCTTCAAACAAAACTCACAGGTAAAATTCCAGACTTCTGTAGATGCTAAGCCAGGGGGAGGTCCGTGCACTCAACGCACAAAAAGATACTGTGTGGATTATAACAGTGAATAAGACGCAGCCTCCCAGAGCTCCTGATCAGACACTTGATCCTCTTTACAAAAGAAAGGCGGGTGGTGAAACGGTGGGGTGGAGCACGAGATGAGGAGTCCACAGAGCTGGCTTCCCGCCGCCAGCTCTGCTCCCTCTCACCACAGGACCCGCGGCAGACAAATCCCTCTACCTCCTCGAAACTCAGTTTGTATCTAAATCAGTTTTCACATCGGATCTAAAAGGGATTAGATCAGGAGTCAGCAAATCTTTTATATAAAGGGCCAGATGGTAAATATTTTAGGCTTTTGTGGGTCACATGGTCTCTGTTGCAAGGAGTCAACTCTGCAGTTGAAGTGTTAAGCATCCACAGACAAGATGTAAATGAATGGATGTGGAGTGTTTCAATAAAACTTTATTTACAAAAACACGATAGGCTGGATTTGGCCTGCAGGACAGAATTTACCAACCCCTGTGCTGGATGATCCCTAAAGTCCCTCCCACCTCAAGCATGCTACAATGCAGGAGTCCTGAGACATGGCTGGCTCCGGGAGGCGCGTACAGTGCCGTTGTAGCAGATTTTTACAGCAGGCCGCTGACTGTTCTGAGCCACACTACGGTTAAATATTTTCAATGTCATCCCCACATATCCTGATAAGGAAACTGAGGCTCAGAGAGGGAAAAGGTTTTGCTCAAGGTCACAGAGCAAGGGAGAGGCAGAGCCAGGTCTGGGATGTGCATCTCCAACACTGCCTCGAGGTCCAAACCTAGTTTTGTCATCTGCTAGTGGAGAGACTAAATATCAAGTCCCTTTTATGTAACATCTCTTCGCCTCCCCTTATCATGAGCACAGTGATATATTATGATTACAATTTTCCCGTCAGGCCCCGAAGCCAGCAGGCTGGATTTATCATGCCCACCCCTCAGGTCTCCTTACACAGAAGGCCCCATCTGCTAGGTCTCTGCCAAACTTCTATGTGTGGAACATATTTAATTCTTCACTCATCGTGTCCTACTTTCTACGTCCTGGAGGGGCCCAGAGGCAGGGGAGCGTGGTGGCAGGTTAGATGAAAGACAAGGTCTCCCAACTCACCAGGAGATGGATCCCATGTCCTTCTATCTGTCTGGCCTCGGGCTCCCCAGCAGCTGCTCCTTCTCTGGCCCCAAAGGGCAGACAGGGTTTCCGAGCCCCCTTCCTGACCCTCTTCCTCTGGACGCACACAGTGTGTCCAGGTCTCTCAAAACACGGTGCCAGAACAAACCCTCAGCATCCTCTGGCAATGTCTCTAAAGGACCTCATTAGGACAGTCCACCAACAGCTTCCAGCTTTTCCAGCCCAAAGCTCTTTAATGGCCTGGCTTAACCTCAGTTTCAAACCATAATTACTGGTTGTGAAAAAAAAAAATCTCAATTTTATGCATCTAAGTATATAAACTTCCTTTGAAAACGTTCAGCAAAAAAGTATTTTCAAAACGGTGTACCCCCAGCTACCCCTCCCTCTCACGTACCCCCTGCCACTCACGTGATCACGACGGGGGCCACCTTGTTGGGGATGATGGACTTGGCCTTACTGTTGTGCAAGCTCATGGTCTGGAAGGAGTGGACACTGAGTGAGTGCCGCCCGTCCATCGTGCCACTGCCCTGGAAGCCCTCGAAGGGGGCACCCGCTGAGACCGTCTGCTGGGCTGTGCTGGCTGTTGTACCCATAGTCCGCCGGCAGCCTCAGGACCCAAGACCTGTGGGGTGAGAGGCGTGTGGTGAAGGAGGGGGTGGGAAAAGCCATGGCAGGAAGGGACTCAGCCCACCCCTCACCCCCACTGTATAGACACAAAGTCTGAGGCCCAGAGAGGGCCAGCTTGCCCTGCAGCTGGAGACAGAGGGCAAGTATGCCACCTACCACACGTTCACTGAGCGCTCACTATGGGCCCTCTGCTGATGCTGTGGAGGAGTTATGGACACAGACATAGAGACGCAGCCCCTGATCCCTTATAGTTTATACCTCTCTGGTGAAAATAAGACAGTTAGCAAAGGGTTAACCCTCCACGCCAGGTCGGGACCTAGGGCTCTAAGTGACTGGGTCAAGCCACATGGAGGCCAGGCCTTTCAGACTGGGAGAAGCGGGAGATTGTCACCTGAGGGAGAACCAGGGGCAGATGCAGACGGAGGTCGGGCTTGCATTTGAAGGCTCTGGATGGGAAGAGGATGCCAGAGGATGTTCTAGCCATGAATGTCACAAAACGAGGCCAGGGAAGTCCAGATTGGGTGAGCTCTCAGCAGATCAAGGGTTCAAAGAAAGCCCCGGCCCCTGAACTCGATGTCAACACTATCAACATCAATCTCATCAACATCAACATCATCAACATCATCATCAACCTCATCAACCTCATCATCAGTAACATCAACATGATCATCATCAAAATCATCAATATCTACATCATCAACATCGTCAATAGCCAAAGCTTCCGCCCCTCAGGAGGCACGCTGGGCATCCTCGTGGAGTCAGCAATTCCTCTTGTAGGGCTCTCTGCTACGGAAATACTTAAGGATGTATGCAAAAAGTGGACCACAAGCGTATTTTGCTGATAGAAGTATTGTTTATAACAACAAAACACAGGAAACAACCTCCAGCCAACACAGGGGGATTTGTTGAATAAATTATGGGACGTCTCTAAGGCGGAATGTTAAATAGCCATTAAAAATATTGACTGACATGGAAAGACATCTAGGAAATTAGAATGGAAGGAGCAGGGCCGGCCCCGTGGTTTAGCGGTTAAGTGCATGCGCTCCGCTGCTGGCGGCCTGGGTTCGGATCCCGGGCGCACACTGGCCCACCACTTCTCCGGCCATGCTGAGGCCGCGTCCCACATACGGCAACTAGAAGGATGTGCAGCTATGACATACAACAATCTACTGGGGCTTTGAGGGGAAAAAAATAAATAAATAAGATCTTTAAAAGAAAAAAAAAAAAGAATGGAAGGAGCAGGTTGCAAGGCAAGTACAGGCTACAATCCCACTTTAATTCATAAAAGCGTATCAGGATAAAAGTCTCGGAGGGTCCACATCAAGATGCTAACGTGAGTTATCACCAAGTGATGAGATTACAGATAATTTTTATTTTCTCCTATTTGCTTAACTGCATTTTCTGATTTTTCTCCTCTGAACACTGGGTAATACAGTCAAGGCCTATTTAAAACAAATAAGGGAACGGCTGGGGAAGCGAGCTGGAGACCCATTAAGAGCTGCAGGAGAGTGTGGGGAGGACTGGCTCAGGGGTCCTAGAGTCAGGGCTGCTGGGAAGGGAAGGGGCTGGAATTCCACAGACCCAAAAGAAGGGCAACAGACATGGGAGACAGAGGCTCCCAGAACTTTCTGAGAGCTCAGCAACTGCTGGCCCCATATGGCACTGGCAGTCCAGGATCAGGACGGGGGGGCAACCTGCCCTGCCCGCCCCCAACTCTGCCTGCACCCTGAGATGGGTCCACTCTGCAGAAGCACAGGGACAATAAGCAGTCCTTACAACACGACAACTCCCCCAGCTGCCTTCAGCTGGCACGAGCTGCTCCACATCGTGGGGACTCTGCTCCAACCTTCCACACTCCCCCCACCCCACCCCAGCCCTCTCATAACCAGCAGCAGCAGCTCAGGAAGGGGACGGTGGAGTCAGCGGGTCAGCACGAAGCCAGGGTGAGCAGGTCAGTCTGAAGGCTGAGCTCACCGTGTCCTCTCTCCCCCAGAGTCAGTGTTCCTGGTCCCAAGGCTGCCCCAGGCCTCCCCTACAGCTGTTCCTTAAGGCTCCCCACCCCCAGAGCCACCTAGACAGAATGACTAGACTCATCTGCCCCTCCCAGAACCTTCCCGAACCACCACCATCCCTCTCCCTCTCCAGTCTGAAAAGGGCTCCCTCTCCCCCTCCTGCCCAGCCTTGTCATCCTTGAAAACTCCCAGCGGCCGTGTGACAGCTTTGTTAGCATGCATACCTTGTGTTTATAAGAGCCCCATCATGACTTTCCACACCCAGTCTAATTTCTCTCTCTCTTGTTCCTTTGGTCAAAGGTGGAAGGAATGAGCCTCTGTTCCTAAACAGAAACACAGGCAGCTCAGAGAGGGTGAGGGGCTCCACCGTGGAGCTCCAACAGCAGAGCCAGAACCTTCTCTCCACGTCACCTGCCGTGGCAGGCCCCCAAGCCAGCTCACCGAAGTTTCCCAGACCTCTCTCAGCAGTCTGGGCCAAGGAGGCACGGATGAGAACAGCCTCCCGCAAGAACAGGGCTGGGGTGTCCCGAGGAAGGCGTGACAAACAAGACACGGGAAGGGCCTGCAGGAGGCAACAGCGGGCTCCAGCTGCCGGGCTGAGGCCAGGCCTGGTCCCAGCAGGCTGGGCCGGGCCTGACACCTCCACAGCTCCGGCTCCGGCCACCCTCATCTCTCACGGGCTCCACAGGCGATGACAGGCCCCAGCCGGCCCCTGTAGGGCCAGCAGGGAGACAATACAGATGTGCACAGCTGCAGGCTGCAGGGGGGGACAGAGTCCTTTGAAAGTTGACCCGCCTCCATATGTCTGGAGGAGGGCAAACCCCCGGGGTCCCCAGGCTTCTCACTCTGCAACTCTTCCACTGAAACCTCTCTCAACCCCGCCCAAAGGGAGCCTCACCAGCAGAGGGACCCTCAGCCTGCTGGCCACATGCTATGGGGCTTCGGCAACTTCCTTCCCCTCTCTGGATCTGAAAGCCCCTTCCAGCTTCAAACGGATCTGGCTCCTAAGATGGCAGCCTGGTGGTCACATCACTGCTGTGTTCAGGGACAGTGGTCAGCGAGGGCGGGGGTGCTGGTGGGGCCACTAGTGCTCAAACCTCTGCTGGGGGGAGAGTGGGGAGGGTGGATTGGGATGAGGCCAGACTGTAAGATAGGGGCCCATGAGCCTGGATGGTTTGTAAATAATTATGCCTTTAGTTTCTTAACTTCTAACTGAAAGCTAGCATTTCCTTCAATCACGAGTGAAGCCTGCCCCTGCTGCGTCGCAGAACTGGGGACGTGGTCGCCACAGAGCGCCCAGATGTTTCACATCACAGGACAGCCGTGCAGGTTTCTGGGAACGTGGCTTCCAGTCACCCCTCCTTTCAAGCCACAGCAATTATCAGACCCGGGTCCCCTGCCCACAGACCGGGGGTGACGTGACTGGCCAACTTTAGGCCACCCTGCGCCTGGCGGTCTTGGGCCCCCACAGTAGGATCCCAGGTTCTCACAACTGAGTTTAACTCAGTAAGCGTGGAGAATTCCAACGATCCTAGAGAGAAGCCCGTCCTCACCTTACGAAGCCAGCTATAAAGAAGCTGCCATTCCATCTGCAAAGTAGGGTCTCAACATCGGGACCATCAAATCAACCACAACTGCCTGGGTGTCAGTCATGCCGGTCACGTGCCCATCAAGCGCACACCCCAGCTTAATGTCCCACCAAAGCTGAGCAGCCACAGCCATGTCACCGATGGGTCCTTAAAAAATAAAATTTAACCTTAATTTACCTAATGGATGATCTTGTTAATGCAATAATAACTAAGGACATGCATTACTACACCACCAGTTTGCTTTTTAGTATTTTATAGCTCTCTCAATAAAATTTACTTCCTCTGGAATCCCATATACTTTGTACATTTAAAAACATTCTGAGGGCCGGCCCCGTGGCTTAGCGGTTAAGTGTGTGCGCTCCGCTACTGGCGGCCCGGGTTCAGATCCCGGGTGCGCACCGACGCACCGCTTCTCCGGCCACGCTGAGGTGTGTCCCACATACAGCAACTAGAAGGATGTGCAACTATGACATACAACTATCTACTGGGGCTTTGGGGGAAAAATAAATTTAAAAAATTTGAAAAAAAAAAAACATTCTGAGAAGGGGTCCAGGAGCATCTGCCAGATTGCCAGAGGGGGTCTTGGCAAATAAAAACAGAGGAACCCCCGCTTCAAGGCAAGAACAATCCCCACCAGACACAGGCCCTCTTCTACCTGCTCCTTTGCTTCTGTTTCTTACCATGTCAAAGCACCTACTGAGTGCCAGGCACCCCACAGCCCCGTGAGGTCCAGGCCCCGTGCGTCCGTTTTCAGGTGAGGTCAGCCGACTTTGGAAGTGGCAGCAGTGGTAACTGCTCCTCCTCAGCATGCCTTCCCTCCTCTCCACAGCCGACCCCGACAGCAGAGCACCCCGCACACTCTCCCTCGCTCTGGGATCTGTGCAACCCCCTCTCAGGGTCCGAGGACCCCCATCCACTCCACTCTCTGCCAGAACACCCCTGACAGGGCCTCCTGGCGCGGTAGAGAGATACACGGTTTCCCGTGGAGGGATCGAGGACCCAGGCCCCACGTCACCACGGGAGCTCTCGGTGACCAGCTAAGAAGCCACGGAATCATGTGGGCTGCAGCTATAGTGGCACTTGAGACAGTCCTGCACACAGACACGCCATCCTCCTGCTTCCAGGCAAACGCACGGCAGTCAGTCCCTGGAGAAAAGAAACTTCCCTGTGGAGCCCTCAGCAGAGAGATGGCCCTGTTTCCCCAAGAAGAATCAGACTTCAGAAGCTGGAATATTAGCTCCAACTCAGCTAACTGCCCAATACTGCAGGAGAAATGTCCAGCCTGCCAGAGTGGTGAGCTTCTCATCAGTGGCAGTATTCAAGCCAAGGGGAGGCTACAGACGAGCATTCTGGGTCCTGGAGTAGAGGAGGGCAGGCAAGAGGTTCAAGAGCTG